GGGAAAGAATATGAGCCTCACTAGAAATGCCCTGTCCATATATGATAAATAGTGACAACCTTTCAAACACCTTAAAATAGTATTCAACCAGCGTTCATGAATCCAATTAATAAACACATGACTTATATTCCATCATCCATCGACAAACATATAAAGAGGAACCTTAACATTCCCTTTCTCTCAAACTTAATGAATGCTTAGCTATACTCACCCAATATGTGGCTGGTTTAGATCCAAAGGTAAAAGCATCCTTTCCACCTCTGTCAATTGCTCGCAGTACATCAGCTTCTTTGCACGATCTATGCGTGACGCTTGAGTTACCAGTCACAGCATTCACAACTAAGTCAGCTAGGTTATTGGAACGCACTGAAGCAGAGTCCTCCTCGGCCACCAGCGGAATTGAAGGGAAGAGATTACCCAGCTCTGTAACCAAAACGTGAAAGCAACAGTATTTGTGAAGTTTCATTGTAGTGGATATTCATTAATCACGATTCACGTCACTTGTAAGTCGAGAATTCACAGAATGCTAATGGCGTGCCTCAGCGCCTCATTTATTTTCAATGAGCATTGCAGGCAAATTCGAGCTGAAACCATTTTTAGCAAAGTTTTATCCATTGTTCAGTTCACCACTGGGATTAAGGAAACTATTGTACATTTCACGACTCATGTTATATGCTCGCTCTTTCACAGACGTTTCTTCTTTATCAGTTCCTGGAGTATGTGATGGTTTCTCAGTTGCAATCTAAAAAAAAAAAAAAAGTAGACTCCAGTGCCAAACAGACTCCCGTACTATGACAGGCTAAGTTGCAATCTATCTTAACATAAATAAGGTCTGGTCATTCTGTAATTACGGCCAAAGAATACTAAACTCCAGAATCATTCATAAATAGAATCAATCAACATCCTAATGATAATACCAATAACACTCGTGAAATTGAATTTTGTGAGCCTGCGCCTGAGCGCTATCATTGAAGGCAAAAATTGTTAAGTTGCCTACATAAAAAATAAAAATAATAAAAAAAAATAACTTCGTATTGTTATTTTCTTTTTATTTCATAGGACTAGAAAACGTATTTTATAGTAATAATCGCTTTGATCATTTTCTGTTGTGTCACTGCACATCAACAACCATCACAAAGGTGCCGATGGAGATCATAATATACAAAATAATAACTTTTGATAATTTCTATTTTATATAATTACTATAGTGATACACAAAAGAAAATATCAAAACTAGCGATATTTATGAATACTCTTTTTTAAGAGTTACATATAAAAAACTAACCTTGAAATTTCTATGGGTGTGTTTACCTGTCTAAAAAATTTAAAAAAAGACAACTCAAATTCTAATTTTATTCAAGTTCATATTCTTTTAAGTTTGAACTAGAATTTGAACTCAAATTTGAACTCGAGTTTGGAACTAAAACTCGAGTTCAAGTGTCCCCTCCAACTCGAGTTCAGAAACTCAAACTCAAATTAATAAACAGTATTTTTTATATTCTTAAAAATGCTATAATTTTTTCGTTTTAATCCTGATTGAGATGATTTTTTTTCTATGCATTGACAACAAAAAGACGAATAAAACTCCACCTATATACCCTATTAAAATTTTTCATCACCATTAAGTTTTTATTAAAACACTATCTAAATACAAATTTAAGTTTTGACTCACTGAAATACAAACTCAAAAAAAAAATTCGTATCTCAAACTATAATTTAAATATACAATTAAATATAAACTCAAGTTACAACTTTAACTTAAATTATAATTCAAAAACTACACTCAAGTCGCACCCCAAACGAACAGGCCCTATATGAAGTTCATTCTATTTGGAAAAAGAAAAAGAAAACAGAAAATGAAAGGCCGATTGTCACAGAAGCAATCTGCAATGACTGAAGAATTCAATTACCCAAACTGACCAGAGCCTGAACCCCAAAATCCGCGACGGTGACCGGAGTCTGGTCATTCTTCTCGATTATACGTCCATCACTTGAAAACAACGACGATTTCACCTGATAATCACCAAAATCCATTCTCAAAAATATTACAAAAGATATCCAAAACTTTTCAAATACGATGGCAAAGTTGAATTAACAAGCATCATTGCCAAAGAGAGCGTGTTTGAACATTTTCTCGCCAACCAAACAGAAATCATATAAGAGAATAAAGAAAATACGTCGAGACAAAGACGACAAGCTCTCTCCACGACTTCCACGGCTGCTTCGAGCTCTCCATGATACTTGGCTTTGTGGCCCGGAAATGGCAAAGACGACCTGAAATTGAAGCCATGGATAGAATAGAGCGTAACAGAAATCGGGAAGCCGGAAGGGAGAGCTAGAGAGAAACCTGACGGTATAGAATCGTCTGCGCAGAGGCGCAGGGGAAGAGAGCGAGGGAGTGAATCGGACGGTTGAGAAGTGGGAGGCGGAGGTGAAGAAACCCATGGCGGGAATTGGGATGGCAGTGGGTTGGGAATCGACGGCGCCGAAATTTGTCGAACTCAGAAGTGGAAGTGGTTAACGCTTTTCAGAGTACAGTTGGCACTTGGCAGGTGGAGTGGGGAGCCGACTTGTCGTTTCGTCGTTAAGAATGGAAGGAGAGATACTCGTCAGTTGTCCACTTGTCCTCGAGTCGACTAACGACGAATCGTTTTATAGGTAGAATTTGTTGGCTTAAGTCCTAAAACGACACGTGGCTTTTTAAAAAGGACCAGGCTCGAGGTATAGCAAAATTTCAATAGCAGATATTAAAGGGTTGTTTGGTTGGGGAATTCGTACTCTAATTTGAATCATAATTTATGATTCGTTACAGTATTTTCTTTCATAAAAAATATACGTAAATTGAAAATATCTCATGATTCTAATCCATAAACTAAACGACTCCACATATAATAAAATTTTTAAAATATTGCAAGAATAACAAATTTTAATATCATTAAAATAATAACTACATCATTATATAGTATAAAATATGATATTATTATGATAATAATTACGTCATTTTTATTATACTTTTTTACTAAATTTTAATTTAAAGTATGAAATTTTGTTAATTAAGCAATTTTAGGCACAATGATACATCTTATTTTGTTCACTATATTCTGTCGTTTGTGACTAAAATAAGATGGGTAGTTGGACGTGGAAAATATTGATGTCATTCTTATTTTAGTGTTCGTGTAATTAAACGAAATTGATGTCGTTTCTTATTTTAGTTTTTACGTTGAAGCTTTTTGAAAGCGTTTCTATGTTGAAGTTGTTGCTATTTATTTGCGTAAACGACATGGGGAAAAATAAGGTTCTTCATTTTGTTAAAAGCGAACTTTAAGGCTTAGACATGGTCTTGGGGTGGATGTTCAAGTCAAGTTCAAAATTGGGTTTTTTATTTAGAAGTTGTTGCCCCTCACCAAATTAAGCGACAGCTCGTTTGAATTTCAAAAATTGTCGTTTATTTATGTGAAAACGACCGGGTGCTCAATAGTTTTTTTAATTTATTATTACTTTCTTTTCTTTTCTTTTCTTTTGTTTAACAAGTTCATTTTTCCCTTATGTCCAAATAAACGACATGTCGTTCTCAGAAATTTTTGTTCCTTGGGTGAATTTAAACCACCACTTATAGTCATCATGTAGAAATTCTTGATGCCTGTATAATATACAGCATTGAATTTAAACTGTTGTTGTCGTTTATTTTAGAAAAAAGGACCCACCCTTGTTGGTCAAAAAGTTTGTTGTCCTTTCTGGTGGTTTTTCATAATAATAGTAGAAGAATATATTATAAAAAGCCTGGTAAACAGCATGCTGTTCGTCGGTTTTGGAATTTTGAGTTCAAATAAAGCATACGACATATAGTTTTAATGCTATAGTTGCTGTCGTCTACATAAATTAAGTTGGATGTCCCCTCCCCCCCCCCCCCCCCCCCGCGAAATTGTGTCATTTGTTTCGGTAAGAAACGACCGCACGGTTACGGGTTAAGAATTTTTCCTCGGTAAACTAAAACATGGTATTCCTGGGTAGGAATTTTCAGTTCAAGTCAATGAAACGACATGGTCGTCTGAATTTGGAATGCATTTTGTCGTTTGTTTAAGTAAAAACGACAATGCACTCGCGGAACAAAAAGTTTGTTGTCATATATGTCCATATAAACACACGTTGTGTTTGCATTAGATAAATAAACACACGTTCTTTTCAGGTAGGATTTACGGTTGAAAGTCAGAAGAAACGACATATAATTTTCATGTCAAAGTTATACGTCTGCGCGGGTAAACAACATGTCGTTTTATGTTTGACAAGTATCTTACAAAATAAATATGTACTCCCTTTAGAAATATGTTAGAAAATTAGAATAACTAGTAGTTTTGGAAAATTTTCGAAAATTAAATGCAAAAATAAGTACTTGACAAGTACATTAAGCAATTCTAAAAAAAAAAGTACATTAAGCAAAAAAAAACAAATACAAATACGAATACCTTTCTATTTGAAAGAAAAATTCAAGAGAAACTAAAGATAATAGTATTTCTCTAAAAATATCATATAAACCCGTTAGAATTTCAGTAGAAATCATATCCGCCAACAAGAGAAAAAGAAGACTGGATAAGGATAAAACGTGTTATTTGTTAAGTATAAACAAATAAAAAACTATTAGATCCCGTAGGGGGAAAAATTGATCAATTCAAATATTAAGGTCTCGTTCATTTTATTAATTTAAGTTTTTAGTTCTAAGTTTTTATAGTAAAAAATTCTTAAAAAATATCACATCTAAGTGAAAAATTCTCACAAAATATCACATCTAAACTCAAATTCACAAAGTAAATAAAACTTAAATATGTTTAGAATAAAAATTCATATTATAATTTAAATCATAATTCATAATTTAATACAATATATTTTTTTTATAAAAAATATGCATAAATTAAAAATAATTTTAAGTTATAATTTAAAATTTATGAACCCAACTTTCCCTTATCCAAATCCCACATAAATAAAATAAATGGAGAAAGAGAGAAATATATTAAGACTTGAAATGAATTAAAATTAATAGGCTAATAGTTTACATAAGTTAATAAATAGGCTAAATTACTGTTTTTGTCCATAACTTGTCTGGTTATAAACCATAACTTAACAAGTTATTCACAGTTTTTCTCCATAACTTATCTGGTTATGAACCATAACTTGACAATTTTATCTATAATTTATCTGGTTATGAACCATAACTTAACAAAACACATTGTGGATTACACTTTGTGAGAGACATTATAGCTCAAGAAAGGATTAAAGTAGAAAAAAATTCTACTTTGAAAAATCCTACTGATATGCTTACTAAAGCAATTCCTGTTAGTAAGTTTGAGCAAGCTTTAAGCTTGCTCAATGTGCTGCCAACGTGATGATTTTTAGTAAGTGCAGAGGTCCAGTCTCAATTCACTAAAAATCTGAGTCAATGTGGAGTTTGTTAATAATGTGACTCTGATTTTTGAGTTAGTTATTAACAGGTTAAGTTTGTTATAACTAATGGGACTGTAGCCCAATTAGTTCTTGAGATAAACTTAATTATCTCAGTTAACCAACTGTAGTTAATTTCCTGACTCAGGTTAATATATGATGCTCTATTTTATAAGTAGTATAAAATAGAAACTACAGAAAATAAGTCTGTCACGTCTTTCATTTTCTACTTTGTGCTTTCTCTTTTTGGAATAGAGTCTGTATTTCTCGGTGAGTGCTAAGAGAGAAACTGTGAGAATTTATGGGTAAGCTTGGGATATTGAAGTTTATAATTGAGAGATTCATCAAAAGTGAGGACTGTGAGGTTGTAATCGTGTTTCTGCATAATAATGGATTGGACTGGAGGTTTTCCAACCTCTACCCTTGGATGTAGGATTTTCCAGAAATCCGAACCAAGTAATTCTTGTGTTCTTCTTCTTCTTCTTCTTTTATGTGTACGATTCTTGAAGACATTGGCCTGGGAACAACACACCTCTTATAGTCATCATGTATGCCTCGTTCACTTCGCTAATTTGAATTTTCAATTCAAGTTGAGATGTGACATTTTCAGATAGCTTTTCACTGTAGTATAAAAAAATTAATGTGATATTTTTTTAGAATTTTTTACTGTAAAAACTTAAAATTAAAAACTCAAATCGGCGAAATAAACGGTAGAAATTCTCGATGATTGTATAATATACATCATTGAATGTAAACCGTTGTTGTCGTTTATTTTTGTAAAAAGGACCCACCCTCGTTGGTCAAAAAGTTTGTTGTCCTTTGTGGTGGTTTTTCATAAAAATAGTAGAAGAATATATTATTTAATGCCTGGTAAACAGCACGCTGTTCGTCGGTTTTGGAATTTTGAGTTCAAATAAAGCAAACGACATATAGTCTTAATGCTATAGTTGCGGTCGTTTACATAAATTAGATGTCGATTCCCCCCGCGAAATTCTGTCATTTGTTTCAGTAAGAAACGACCGCACGGTTACGGGTTAAGAATTTTTCCTTGGTAAACTAAAACATGGTATTCCTGGGTAGGAATTTTCAGTTCAAGTCAATGAAACGACATGGTCGTCTGAATTTGGAATGCATTTTGTCGTTTGTTTAAGTAAAAACGACAATGCACTCGCGGAACAAAAAGTTTGTTGTCATATATGTCCATATAAACACACGTTGTGTTTGCATTAGATAAATAAACACACGTTCTTTTCAGGTAGGATTTACAGTTGAAACTCAGAAGAAACGACATATAATTTTCATGTCAAAGTTATGCGTTTGCGCAGGTAAACAACATGTCGTTTTATGTTTGACAAGTATCTTACAATATAAATATGTACTCCCTTTAGAAATATGTTAGAAAATTAGAATAACTAGTAGTTTTGGAAAATTTTCGAAAATCAAATGCAAAAATAAGTACTTGACAAGTACATTAAGCAATTATAAAAAAAAAAAGTACATTAAGCAAAAAAAAAAAAAACAAATACAAATACGAATACCTTTCTATTTTAAAGAAAAATTCAAGAGAAACTAAAGATAATAGTATTTCTCTAAAAATATCATATAAACCCATTAGAATTTCAGTAGAAGAAATCATATCCGCCAACAAGAGAAAAAGAAGACTGGATAAGGATAAAGCGTGTTATTTGTTAAGTATAAACAAATAAAAAACTATTAGATCCCAGACATAGGGGGAGAAATGGATCAATTCAAATATTAAGGTCTCGTTTATTTCACTAATTTGAGTTTTTAGTTCTAAGTTTTTACAGTAAAAAATTTTTAGAAAATATCACATCTAATTTTTTATTATAGTGAAAAGTTCTCACAAAATATCACATCTCAACTCGAATTAAAAACTTAAATCCACAAAGTGAACGAAACTTAAATATGTTTAGAATAAAAATTCATATTATAATTTAAATCATAATTCATAATTTAATACAATATTTCAAGACTTGAGATGAATTAAAATTAATAGGCTAATAGTTTACATAAGTTAATAAATAGGTTAAATTACTATTTTTATCCACAACTTGTCTGGTTATGAACCATAACTTGATAAGTTAT